TCGCCGAAACGTAATGAAATAAACGATGTTAAAAATGTTTACTGAATATCATAACAAGTACACGCAGTCAGGAAAATACATCAGAATAAAGAAGACACAATGTGTTCTTACTGCAACGCAATCACACAAAAAGCACAAATCTTTCAAATAAATGCTAGTTTTTAAAGATTATAAATAATCCATAAAGTGCCGTGATAAAAACAGTTATGGATAGTATTTTTCAAATGTATTTCTATTACTGAAGATATGGCAAATGAAGACTAGCAACTTTAATAAAAGCATCTGTATTCTGTGGGTAATTGTTTTTTTTTCCAATGCATATGATTAACAGTAAAATGAACAATTTTTTGGATGAAAAGACAGTGAAATCTTCATTTAGGTTTATGGAGTAAGGAAAATCTTCTCACTTTTCTCCACTGTAAATTAATCAAAAACGTTTTCCAAGAGACCTAAAATTTAAAGCAAAATGACTAAATAAATAAATTTGCCACTATGAACCCGACTTGATCAAGTTTGAATTTACTTAATTGTAGTTTTATTTAGAACTGCATTCTTTGGCTTATATTGATTGTAACATTAAAATGTGTTAATATTTATATATAGAACTAGCATTAAAAATATCGAGCAAAATTCGAAGATTTTAGAAGTGTACTCAATAAGAAAGAAAGAAGAAACTCTAATTACACTTTAAGAAAGTTTGGTTGCAATATTAAATCAACTGGATATAAGGCATATTTTCCACGACACCCATTTTACGAACCATAAGATATACCAGGAAGCTTAACTTGAAAAGAAACGGTTTATCTGGGAAATTGAAAAATCGGATTTTTGTAGATAGGAAAATTTGTCATGAGAATGTTCAATCATTTTCGAGTCTCGCGCGTTTTGGGAAAGCTCAGAAATGCGCAACTTCTTACGGTTTCCGAGATTCCAGCTCGTAAACTGGGTCTTTTGCAAGTATATTTACCTATTTTCTAATTGTGTTTCAGACTGTGCAACTCTCATTTGAATTTCCATTTTACGGCCGATATATAAAAAATGTGACTGTGGCAACTGGTGGATTTCTCTACACAGGAAATTACATCCATTCCTGGCTAGCGGCCACTCAATATATTGCGCCGCTGATGGCCAATTTTGACAATGGAATTTCGAACTCGAGCTTAGTCAAATATCTCGATAATGGTAAGTCTATTCATTGGGGAAACCACACAGAATTGCATTTCTGTGTCTAATTAAAGATTGTTGTTGTTTTTCCTTGGTGCAACTGATTCTGCAGTTTCAATTTCCGCATTTTCAGGTACTGCCTTCACAGTTGAGTGGGAAAATGTGCAATTACGGGACAAGCCGAACAAAGAATTCACTTTCCAAACAACACTGTACAAGAATGGTGATATTGTATTCGTATACAAAGCGGTACCAATGTCGATTAAGAATATCAACAGCGAACATCATCCCGTAAAAGTGGGCGTTTCGGACGCCTATATTTTGGACCGCACTGTATTTTGTAAGTAGACGGAACTCGAGCATAATCGGCTGTTCCATGACGATTTTCGACTTTCAGATGTAAGAAGAAAAACCATTTACGAGTATCACCGAGTCATTTTCAATGATGAAGAAATTAAAAACGGAACTGCAATATACTTGACCGCTTTGCCCACGTGTTTGAACTATCTCAACTGTTCGTCTTGTCTGATTAGTGTTGAAAATTTAAATGTAAGTTTTTTCTTCTAAAATCTCCTACATTGACTTAAAATTCGGATAAATCGACCTTTGTTTATTTCCTTAAAGCATAAAGCGTCGTTGACCTCGTGGACTAGGAAATGCCGATCCAAAAATGGATATTTTTACTCAACTGCTCTTTCTTGATAAAAAAAATTGCCATTTTTGAAAATTTTCCGTTTATTGGAATACGCTTGGCTCTTCAGCTTTATTGATTAGACTTTACTTCACCTAAATATGTAGATTTTTTAAACACATTTCTCGCATTCGCCATATTCAGGGTTATTCACGTTATACGGCACCGACGTTTGGGGCTAGCCCGTTTGTTTTTTGCAAAGTATTATTTGATGAATCCACAGACGCCTATCGGGTGCACATTTTAAAAATATTTTTGTAATCTACAGAGTGTCCCAAAAGCCCTAAAAGTATCAAACTTGTGTTTTTCCAAATGAAATACCCTATATATTATGGCATTTTTGGATTCTCTGAGCAAAATAAGTGTTTGTTTTAATAAGATTTATAATGTCTAAATCTAAAGGTTTTTAAAATAGTTCGAATTTTATCAAAATCTAATATTATTTTCATGTGTCAAATACTTTAGAAGTATTTAAGTTATGTAAACGTAATTCGTAGTGTAGTGTAACA